ATTTCATTTTATTTTATTTTATTTTATTTTAGGAACAACGGCTATTATCATCAGCATTTCTGGATGGGCTTATATTACTTGAATCCTGATGATGGCTTTGTTTGGAGTGATGGATCTCCAGTGAGTGATTTCATTTTCTACAGCTGTTAGTTTGCATTCCTGTGCTTCTCAAGTGTGTGAGGTGTATGCATTTCTGTGTAATTTTATGCTTAATCATAACTTTCTACTTTATCACGCTCTCTTTAGGAAAGCTTATGAATGGCAATTTCATGGCTTTATTTTTTTTTTGGCTAAGACATACTCGTAAGAAAATATGCATTTAATCAACAAGAAAATTAAATTAATGTAGACTAAAAGGATATTCTTGTAAAGGCAAGGCTTTCTGAGTTGCATAGTTCATCTTTAGTATTTCTCTTCGTTAGAGAATTAGACCTTTATCTGAAATGGTCTACATTCCGTGGGGCTGAAGGCAGTTGTTTTATGCCAGTGTGAATTGACTGTATTTTAGACTAAGATGTAAAAACTGTAGAAGCAAAAGTGATTTTGGAGATGTGGGTGTATTTCATGCAAGGTTGGTCAAGATGTATGGATGGAAGTTTACCATATAGAAAACTGAAATTGCAATTTACAGGAAAATTAGAATAGCAGTAATGTTTTTTTCTGAGAAAAAAGTCAACATTTTTGTAGTGTCTCAGTAACATCCTACTATTTTACCCATACAAGATATTTTGTTGTTTTAATATGTGCCCCATCGCTGTTATTAGATTAAGGTTACAGAATTTAGGTCCTGCAAAATGTCAATGTTCTTTCACGTGTGATCGGAAATAATTGTTATCTAAGCTGCAGACCAGCTGCAATCAGAAAAAAATGTTTGAAATGTCAGTATTTGCATGGGGAGCTTCTGTTTTCCTCTTATTTTTTAAACCTTTTAAGTTTTTAAACTGATGGAACAAGTCGTAGGTGTCTGGTTTGCTGCTGTCTCCTCCCTCTCTCCATTATTTTCTTTCTATGTAACAGAATCTTCAAAAAAACCTTTTCTGTCTTAGGTGAGGTATGAAAACTGGGGCTTTGGAGAACCCAATAATTATCAAGGAATTGAGCTTTGTGCAGAGATCAGTGGCGATTCCAGCATGCTTTGGAACGACAGGCACTGTGATTATCTGTATGGATGGATTTGCCAGATAAGAAAAGGTATTGCTTACTCCTGTGTATTAGTATGGTAGGAAAAGTATAGTTCATACATTAGTGTAATAAGAAAAGATTTTCAGTGGATTTTTTCCTTAACTTTAAGAAATAGAAATTTTTAAAACTTGTTTATCAGAATGGTTCCCTGTGCAATGTGAAATATTGATATAAGGATTTCCATGTCTTCAGTGCATTTAAAGATACAGAGCCTTTGGTGCCCTGCTATGGCTTCTCACGGATTTTTTTTTTTAATGATTTCAGAAGGGAAGATATCGTAGTTGAAAAATAGGAAATGTTACATTGAATATTCACATTCAGTTTTGACTTTTCATTTTGAGAAGTATGCACCTTCTCCAAAAAATCCTATTTGGGATATTTTTCTTCTGAGTTGAGCTTTAAGTTATTAGAAAGTAGTTTGCAAATTGGTTCACATACTTGCATTTTTATGTGTGAAAACTCCCTCTACTTGGCTCAGGTACTGTCTTGTCAGCTAGTTGAATCTGTAGATTCAGGATGGAATATGGTTTTGAGATACCTTATTTTGCTTTGGCTGGGTTTTATATTCACATGTTGGTGTCTTACTCAATTCTCTTGAGATCTGAATTTGGATGCTTTTTATTTTCTGAAGACATCAAGGTGAAATTTATAATTTAGGGTAATCTCGAGTTCCATAAGCAGTGCATCTACCTAAGTCTGAGTGTTTTAGAAAGTGTTTATTTAAATATTTTGCCACATTCTGATATTGGGAGAGGGCCGAAATAAAGATGCTGCATTTGATTATTGACAATGAAGTATCAGCTCTGCTTTATTTTGATGAAAGAACTTCTTAGGCTGCGAATTTCTTATTATTTCTTATTATTTAATTTCTTATTATTTCCTATTAAATGCCAGTATCTGTGAGATTATATTTTACCTCAGAATACCTATATTTGCATCTCCACCTGTAAAGATGGAGATCTCCCGTATCAGAAATCTTTTTCCTAATGCTCATGATGGCATCCAGGATGCCACCTCCATGATGCCTTAACAAAAACAAATGGGAATTCTTCAGTCTGAAGTCTTTTCAGAAGGGACCAGTTGATTTCTTGGCACCTTTTCCAGTTTTCATTTAGAGAAATTTTTAAGATCCAGGTAGAAGTTCTTCTCAAGCATAGAAAGATAGTCAGAACCTTACTCTGTAGCTAGCGCACTGCAGAAGAAGATAACCCAGCATTTGTGCTGCCTCTTGTTTAAGCCAGAATTCATGTATAAGTGACCTGGGTAAAGGAGGGAGGTAAAGGACTATCTTAATAGACCTAATGTTTCGAGACGTAAGCTTTTCTGTATCCAGTGAATACCAAAAATAATTACTTAAATTAGGTAAATTTCAGGAGATTTTATAATAACTTGCACATAAGGAATATCCTTAAGGAATTGAATAGTATGCCAAAAATAGGAGATTTAGCCTATTAATTCTGTCTAGATTTTGGTGTTTAATTATCGCTAACTGTAAAGTATAATGTCAACAAACATGCCTATCATTCATAGTAAATACTTTCTTTTAGAGCAGAAAATGTACAAACATAATAAATACTTCTTTCTTACAGGGGCAAGTGTAAAGCCTGAACCAACAGAATCTCCTGCACCCAGTAAGTGTTATTGCTCTTACTATTTGTGTATGTGAATGTTTAAAAGCTTTTTTAAAATTTTGCTAATGAGAATGTTTTGTATCTCAGGAACAATATTGTTAGCTTACCTTTTATCTTACAGAATATAAGACTACTGAGGATGGGTGGATTATACATGAAGACAAACAATATTATTTCAGCACAGAGAGTGTTCCTATGGAAAAAGGTCGGGAGTTCTGCAAAACGAACTTTGGAGACCTTGCTGTCATTGAGAGTGAAAGTGAAAGAAAGTTCCTCTGGCGATATGTAAGAAAAATCATTAATACTATGGAATAAATAATCCAAAACAAGTGAGCATGGGCACAAATCCTCTCTGCCCTGGTGTTCTTCCTACAGGTTTTATGACAGTGAAGTTGCAGTAGCATTAATCCAGATTAATATGAGGAACAAACTCAAGTCTGGTTTTAAGCCATTTCATAGCTGAGACGAGGACAATTTTGGTTTGGTATTTTATATAGAAATAAGCACAATAAGCTTTAAACAGATCATTATCTGTTTTTTCTGTTCAGTGTGGCAGTTACACCACATTGTATCTATCAGCAATTGGTAATGTGCCAAGGTAAATCATAATTCTTTTAGTAGATCTGTGGCTTCATTTTAGCTAGAAGTATTATACTTGTGAGCTACAATTCTGTAGGACAGGTGAGTTAACTGAAAGTAAGTTTTATCAACAGATAAACTCAAGATATCTTCAGCAGTGGATCAAAACAGATCTTGGCTTACATACAACAGTCAGAACATGGGCTTTTGATCTTGTCAGTGTCTCTGGGATGCAGTCTAACTAGCAGCCTCTTTTCGGTTCCCAAGTTTGCTCCTTTGCCTCCGTCTTCTTGTGGGGAGAAGATAGCTATGCAGAAAGAACAAGTTAGGGCATGGATTATGCCACGAGAAAGAGCTTTTAAATGATATTTCCGAGGTGACTGGAGTTGGCTATCAGTGTTTACTGTCCTGAGGCCAACTTCTTTTAATCAGGAATGTACTTCAAAGTCAGAATTGAACTACATAAAACTTTTCCTGAGCTGTCTGAAGAGTGACAGCGAGATGACACAAGGACCTATATCAGTTTATATCCAAAATATAGGAAGCTTTGTCCCTCACAAGAAATTTGTCAGATTATGTCTACTGCAGAGACTGTGCGAGAAGTGCTGATTTCAATGACGTGCAATTAAGGCTGTGAGAAATGTTGACATGGTGACCACACGTTTTGGCCAGTTGGACTGTGCACTGTCAGCTGTGAGCTGTTTTAACCTAAATGTTGTAGCTAGAGAACATAGCAGTTCATATCCTCTCTCAATCAGAGGTCTATTACTCATTATTAACAAAATATTTCTATGATAAAAGAGGACATGTGTACAATTTTAATCTTTACATTCTAGATCTTGAAAAATGGGAGAGAGGAGTCATATTTCATTGGTTTACAACTGAGTGTTGACCAACGGACAAGGTAGGCCAGCTGGAACCATGAAGCTTGCAATGTGCTTTAAAATAAAGAAATACACTGAGTGAAGCAAAAATCATTAAGTGCTCGAATGAAATTGTGGCCTGTCAAAGCAAATGAGAATGTTTTTCTTCTGAATTCTGTGTGATTTTCATGCTGAATTTTTTTTTATTATGAAGGTTGTAAAAATATATTCTGTAGTACGTATACCACAATGTGCCATTATATTTAATCCACTTTTTCTTCTTTCTGAATCACATTTCTGCCGTTAGGCATTCTCACCCTATTACTACTGCTGTTATTTTGCATTTGACTGTAGCATGAAAAAAGGTTGATTTGAATTTTGGTCTCAGCTTTTGTCTGCCTTGTCCATACTCCAATAAAATATAGCCAGTGTAAGGAAATTTTTAAAAGTCTTTCCTGTTGATACTGGTAAATTTTTTTCTTTGTTGAGGACCAGCTCCTTTTCAAGTAAATGGAATTTCTCCTTGGCACCACTGGAAGCTAGGGTAGATCTGTGAACCCTAAAGCTTGACTTATTCTTTAACGATATAAGAGCATTAACTTTGTTTCTATAGGTCCATTAGATTTGCAATGTTCTGCTTTACTGTGTGCAGTCATCTATGCGACCAAACAAGTTAACTCAATGGGGCATAGATTTTCAAAATACATACCTAGTTTTGAATCTTAATTTTAACATGACTGTATTCTTAAGTAATTTAATTCTGTGTGAGTTTAGCCTCATATTATCCAGAAGAAATACTGCATGTTTCCTTAACAGAATTCACCCAGAGCTAAAAAATTACACTGCAGATAATGTATTTTGAATTTTTAGTCAAGAATTCTAGTTTGCTTTACTCCGTGATTTATATTGCAAAATATATAAGATTTTTGGTAGGTAAGAACATTCTTTTTCCCTGTCCTTAACTGTTGGGAACAGACTGTAAAATATGCAACCTATTTTCTTTCTGTAGAATAAACGTAGCTGTTACCATTATATAACTTCAGGTGAACTGTGAGGATTAGGAGATTTTCTCCAAGTCATTCTTAGCTGAGCCAGATCACCTTCTAAAATTGAGGTGTTTCTGCCTTTCCACTGTTTTTGTGGAAAGATGAATAAGATGAATATGCTTTTAAGTGAAATACCTTCTGTATGTGCCTCCAGGACAAACCTGAGTACTTCTATCACTTGCAGTCCAATAGGAGTTTGTCTGCTAATGAATACTTGATTGCCTGCTTATGATTTTGTTCTTTATTGTCTAATCTACATGCATGTACAGTCTTCTCCATGTTTGCATTTTACCTTACGGTATGGCATGTCATCACAGGAATTTCCTTGTAGGTGGTTTTTCATACACTTTTCCTCTGCATGGGGGAAAGATCAAGTATTTTACCAATGTTATGAATAAAATCCCTTATCTCTGTAGTAGGTGCAGGGAGTGTGTGACTTGGGGGAAATGGTGAGCATCTGGGCTCTCATGCTGAAATGTTGTCTGACCATCATATTGGCTTGAATGATTCTTTTGAGTATTGCCCTATCAGTTGCAGAAGTGTCAGCATGTTGCTTAAATGCAGAGTAAGCACAACTTCAATACGTATCCTACGTCTTCGTGCAGAGAGCAAGTTTTGTGCAATTAGCAAAGAGGCAAACTGGTCATAAAACCTCCTATGCCCTAAAATATGAATGGCTCTATTAAACATATTGCAAAATTACTTTCTTTGTAACGTGAAAAAAACTCTATCTGTATGTTAAAGCAGTGGGTTTTTTGTATTGTTTTTCTTCAGCTGGATGGATGGCACCCCAGTGAATTATTTGGCCTGGGCACCACATGAGCCTAACTTTGCAAATAATGATGAAAACTGTGTAGTTATGTATAAGAATTTAGGTGAGTTTTATTTGTTTGTTCCTGAATTTCATTATCTGTGTGTTTGGGTCACAAATTTTTTTTTATTTCTGAGAGGCCACCCCCCTTTTGTTTTGTTCTTTTGGAAAATGTTACAAAGTAGGCCACAGTACTATATTCAGGACTTGTGTTTACCTTAAGCCTAGCCTGGGGAAGCTCTGATAGAGGACTATGGTTGTGATTGCTATACAACTGCTTCATATTGTTTATTAAAATTGACCTAATGTGCCAATATAAAATTGATATTTCTAGTACCTGTTTCTACATTGCTTTTAACATGCTGTATTTACAGCGTGTATAAAGTGACATATTTAACCTGGATGCTGATGTAGAATTAGAATAAACTGTGAGACTGAGGATTTGATGCTATCTGTCAATTAAAAGCACTTTGTGTAAGAAAGAGTGAAACTGAATTCTGTTTAACCAGCTCTGCATGTGATGCACAGTTCTCCATTTTTCTTACATTCAGGATTTTGGAATGATATAAACTGTGGTTATCCAAATCCTTACATATGTGAAAGGCACAACAGTTCCGTTAATTCAACCGTTCCTCCAACAACATTTTCAACTCCAAAAGGATGTCATCCAGCTTGGCTTTCCTTTCATAATAAGGTACCAAAACAAATGCAGCACGTGTTGCATGTTTAGTAAAGTATTAAATAGGGAACTATTTAGCAAGGGAATTATTTAATACCATTGTTTCTTGTTAAAATAAAATATTATTTTTTTTTTTGCAGAGAGCTGTTTGACGCCTGCATGCTTTTCTTTGTTTACTCATCCACTGTTTTGCAGGAAGGGTGCTTTTTTGATGCTTCTAATAAAGTGACAGATGAGCATATTCAGTTGCAGTTGACAGAAGTCATTCTCTAGTCGTCTCTTCAGATCATTTGATATTCATTTCCTAAAGAGTTTTGACAGAGTTCCTGGAGTATTGATGATTTGATCTTTATGTTTTTTAATCAAACCATAATGCTTTTTCGGTGCCGAATACATTTTGGCTTCCTTTACCAATGTGGTATGCTTTGTAGAATCATATAAATGAATGGACAGGCTAGTGTGAGTCACAAATAACTTACCACTGTTAGCTGACTGTCTATGGTTTTTACTTACTTTCTAGGGATTTCAGATCAAATCTGGTATGGGTCTTGCTGAGCAAAACACTTTCTTGAGGCCTTCAATTTTATATAGAACAAGGACTAGCACAAAAATCTCTTTTTAAGCTGAATGTGGTGGGTTTTTTTCAGATCAATGCATTGTTTTATTGCCTTTTGTCCATCCTGTTTTGCTTAAAGTGATAGTTTTCAGTCTGTGAGGGATATTGGAATAAAGATAATACATATAGAATTTGTTCATGTTTTAGTGTTACAAAATATTTGGATCCACAGAAGATGAACGTGTCACTTGGCATGCTGCACGAACTGCTTGCATGAATTTAGGAGGAAACCTGGCCTCTATCCCTAATGAACAAGTGCAAGGTACTGGGTTGAGTTTTGTAGCAACTAGGTCTTTACAGTATGGCTGTTGTATTTGTGTGAATATGGACGAGATTTGGGTAATGACTGCTCATTTGGTGAGACCTTACCTGGAGTATTGTGTCCAGCTCTGGAGCCCTCAACACAAGAAGGCCATGGACCTGGTGGTGGTCCAGAGAAGGGCCACAAAAGTAATCAAAGGGCTGGAACACCTCTCCTATGAAGACAGGCTGAAAGAGTTGGGGCTGTTGAGCCTTGAGAAGAGAAGGCTCTGGGTAGACCTTATAGAGGCCTTTCAGTGTTTAAAGGGAACCTATAAGAAAGATGGGGGCAATCTTTTTAGCAAGGCCTGTTGTGACAGTACAAGGGGTAAGGACTTTAAACTAAAAGCGTTTAAAAAGAGGTTCTGAGCAGCTTGACCTAGTTAAAGATACCCTTGCTTACTGCAGGGGACTTGCACTATATGACCTTTAGTGGTCCCTTCCAACCCAATGCATTCTATGATTCTATGATCTGATTTTTGTTCTGAAACACATAATTTTTGGAAGTTTACAATGAAGTCTTCGCTTGAATCTACCAAATTTCAATGTTGTCTTATATATACACATGTATATTATCTTGGCAGCCAAAGGAGTGCTTGCTTATTCTGCTTACATATGATGCCAGCTGGACCTAGCAAGTTCCATTCCAAATGATGTAGTTTCACTAGAAGGCATTAACTCACTGCATGGCTTTCCTATTCACTGAAGCAGAACACCTTTAGGTCAGAACTTGCTGTCTCTGGGCAGCTTGGCACAGAGATTTGACTGCTGATATACCCACCCTCAATTCACCATATAGATGTACCCTTCTTTTCACTAGAAGAACTTATTTTCATGAACCTGAGCTGCATCTGTGATGGAGGGATGAGCAGAGGGAAGTTACCTCATGCCTGAATAAACATGACACACATTCAGATTAAAAACTGGGGAAGATTTTGATAGATGTTAACACCACCTTCGTTTTTCAAATACTGTTTTATACTACAGTGATGAGAAACAGATGTTGCACAACACATACTGTCTGTGAACTCAAAAGAGCATACTGAAAAATCACCTATTGTAAACAAGTCTGTGTTGTAGTCCAAGCAATTAAATAGTTTAAATTTAGACTGCTAACATGAATTTAGTACTACTTATCTTTTCCACATGTGAAGAGATGAAGAATCAAGCTTTGACTTTTCTAACATAATTAAATTCTTACTCAGTGTAATTTCCGCAGTACAGATTTCAGGTGGTGGTTGGTTTGTGCGCAGGCTTGAATTCAGGTGAAAAAGAAATGAGCAATAAAACTATTAGCAGAAAACTATTGTTATTGCTGGCAATGTGGGCATAAAGGCTTGGGTTCCTGTTATGGTTTCTGGCAGAACAGCAATGCTAATATTTGGCAAAGAAATCTACAGGTTTTGTTCCTGGAAGTGTAAGTTGCATTCATATTAAAAGACTAAAGGAAGGTGAAGGGTTGATAGAGCAGGCGTAATTTCATCTATTATTTGCAGAGAAGAGTGAGCTCATAAGAATGACTGTAGTAGTTGGCAAAAGCCATGACATGTTCATTTTGTCGTGGTGTTTGATGTATTGTGCATTAGTGGGTAGATGAATGCCAGCTGACCTAGCCTGCTCTGTTTGTGAGCTAGCCACGCTACCTAAGACACATTAAGCACCTTTCCAGACTGTGCAAAGCTGTGGTGATTGATGTTTTTGTGATGAACAGTTCTGTTGAGGCTCATTTTAAGCATGTTGCTTGTGCATTCTGCTTCCTGCTAATGCAGTGCAGGCTATGGCTCAGGGGGTTCAGGAAACACCCTCCTCATTCTCTAATAGCACTACTTGTGCAGGTGCAGAAGTTGTTGGTGCTCAGTGGTGCTGCCTGTGGGATAGCAGTGGGGGTTAACCATTCTGGTGGGTTTATCAAAATGGTATGTGATCTACATGGCTGTATATTTCTTAGTCAGTTGTAGGATTAAGATTCAGAAATGTCTCAAGACATTATAAAAAGCGTTTCTGTCATGCTTTTGGGATTCATCCCGGTACCCGGTTAGATGCTTAGCTGCAATATTTTGCCCAAAGCTGTGGTTGTATATCTGGTTCCCCCTTCGTTAAACTCAAAGCCACCTTTTTATTTTTCATCGTACCTGCTTGTGTTGTCAACAGTGAAGTGATCTGTGTTTCAGGAAAAAATATTTAATATCACCAATCTCAGTGAGGCCAGACATTTCAATTGTCCTTTGTTGAAAGTATTTTTCTTTTTTTTTGCCTTTTTTTTTTTTTTTACTTTAGCTTTCCTCACCTTCCACATGAAAGATTTTGTGGCTGATACATGGATTGGATTAAATGATATAAATCATGAACTGAGGTTCCTCTGGACAGATGGAACAGGAGTTTATTTTACAAACTGGGCCAAAGGCTTCCCATCAGGACATATGGATTTATACTCATATGATGGCCAGGTGAATAGCATTCACAAATTGCTAATTGAAATTTGATTTTACACTGCATTTATGCACTTGTTGGGATTTAAGACATGTTACTGCTTGGCTTATTACTTTCATACTTTTATAGATGTCAAATATAAATCCAAACAGAGTGAATGGTTTAGAGGACTTGGGCAGTTGCTGTATTAGCTCGTGACAGAATCTGACGTGCTCACGCAAAGACCAATTTCAGAATTCAATTCTCTGTGTCTATGCAGGCTGCACTGCTCCTGTGTTCACCCCATGTTCTCTCATAGGTTCTGGCTGAGAGGACAGTGGGATTCCTGCCTTGTGGCATTTGACCCAAAAGCCCAGGGAATGAGCACACCCTCTTACTCCTCTGACCACGGCTGTGCCTGAACTCAGCAGGTTTCTCAGTTGGCACATAGCTTGCAAGGGGCACTTACAGACACTTCCCTCAAGCAGACACATCATACATAGAAGTAAATTGTTAGTCACATTTGCGGGAAGGACATGCGTCTATAAAAAGACAGCCATTGAGTACTTAGGAAAAGAAAAAAAAGGAAAGAAAATCACTTCCCCTATTTCTCTGCCATACAAACTGATCTGATAGGGTATAGAGTCCCTCTCTCTGATCTTACATGTTTAGATACTTTTGTGCTATGGAACTACATCACGTTATAGTATTAGATCTATTTCTCTTGAATGCCTTTTTTAATTTAGAAATCTTCTTTTTATGTATAATGTTCTTTTTCATGTTTTTGAAAGCTTCTTGTCTCTAATGGAGGGCTTATTGTTTCTAATGGAGGGACAATTTGGAGTGCAAAAGAGAAAGTATCTTGAAAATGTTGCTTTCGGGAGAAACAATATATATTTTTCTCTTTTTATGAAAAGTACTAGGATTTCTATGACGTTCTCTGTGAAAACTTATGAAGTCCCTATTTTATAAATTTCAGTTTTATTTTTAAGTTTACTTGACCTTAGCAAAAAATAGGTTGTCATAGTTAATGCAAAATACTATGCAACTGTCCAGTTTGAAGGATTTAAATCTTAATGTATTTCACTCAGAAACAAAATGAAATGTTTCTCTCTATCTCTTCCTGGAAAATAGAACCACATAAGTAAATAGAATAAAGTAAATATGGATGCTTCGTTGCTCAAAGCCATTTGTACCCGTGCAACCTTTTGCATTCATCACTGTATGTTTAATATGTGCTAACATTCATTCTCGCTGTCATGCCCATGTCAGAGAAGTTGAAATGTCACTGTAAATGTGGCACTGACAGATCAACGGCTGCCTTCAAACAGGAGCAGTTTCTAAATTTGCTTGCAACAACAAATTTCAAGAGACTGATAAGTCAGAAATGTTGCATTACCTATCGAAGCTCCAGTTGTTTTTGTTTTTTTTTTTTTCCCTAGGACAAAATTAACTGGTCTTTTCTACAGTAGTTGATTTCACTTCTCTTTAAAGTGTCTGTGGCTTTCCTTCTCTCCATGCTGTATGGCTGGAGATAAGAAAATACCAGAATTTCTCTGTATTGCTTATCCACCCCAATGTTGCACAAGAGAGAGCAACCTTATGAAATTTGTGAAGCGCAAGAAGAACAGAACCTCCACATCATGAAGACTTATGCTCTCAAATCTTTCAAGGATAAGAGAGTAAAACTGTGGCATTACTTGTGTCTGAAGGTGTAAAAGGGGGTCTTCTTCTAGCTGTTTGTGACTGATTTTATATCTTTTTGCTTCCAGGCTGATTGTGTTGTTATGAGAAACAATCCAGTTAAGGAAGCAGGGAAGTGGGCTGATGAGAGTTGTGATAACAACAGAGGATATATATGCCAAATTAATGCAGGTACTTGTCTTTTTGGTTAAACTGCAATTGAACCTTATGTTTTTTTCAGGGAATTGCTTGGGTGTGTAGATTTCAACATCATTTAATTTCCCAGTGACTGCTGTGTTGCTGCTATCCTGAGCTGGAGTTTATATCTGCATCTTTATGTTTAGTGTGGATCTTAACTTAACTTTTTTCCATGACTTTGTCATTTTCTGAACACACTGGCTTTCAAAACGTGTTCTGGAAAATACTGGCTTGTACATGTGGCATGAGCTGTATGGAGTGTGACTGTAACTCACCCGCATCAAATTTGAGCTGATTCACCTCCTAAAAGCAAATTAAAAAGCAGTGAAAACTTGGGTTTAAGTATCTGATTGATTTTTTAAGGACTGGTATGTTGTGGAGTTTTCCTTTTCTCTGGAAATAAAAGTCCCTGAAAAACAACACGGTCCCTGCAAAGCATTTCCTTTGATGAAAAAATATTTTATTAAAGAAATTGTGACCTAATCTAATTCTTACTCATTTCAGCATTACTGTTCTGGAAGATTAAACAGAATGCTCCTTTGCTCTTTGTCAGAAGTTGCTTTAAACATCTCTTCCCTTTCTATAGCTTTGTAATTGATTTTTACTACTGATGCTGGCTTAAAGAATAGTGCATCTAACCCATGCTGATCAAAAGTCAGGGAATATGAAATGAAGTTTTTTTGTTTAATTCTATTTGCAACCGCAGTTAAATCTTAACCCCCTTTGAACCAGCATATGAGTCTTTTTTCATCCATTATTTTACAGATGCTGATCTTCTGCCTCCTACAAGTTCATCTCCATCCAGCGTTATCCGTTATGGTAACAGTAGTTATTTGTTCATCCGTACCAAAATGAAATGGGAGGATGCACGAAAAAACTGCAAACGTGATCAATTTGATCTTTCCAGCATCTTAGACCCCTACAGTCATTCATTCCTGTGGCTAAAGATACTAAAGTATGGAGTGCCTATATGGATTGGTCTTAACAGTAATGTGGTAAGAACATCAGACTAATTGAATATGATGCTGCTTCTCCTGTGGTCAAATCAGGAACTGAAAAGTCTTACTGCCTCTCTTTATTTTAGCTTATTAGTTTATATCTTGGTCTTAAATCCTTTTGTGTGCTGTCAGATGTACAGATAGGAATCAATTCTCTCCCATTACTCATTAAATTGTATGTCTTGCATATGGTTTTCACAATTTTTCTGAATTATTGCACTTTACCTACTTCAAAAAAGACATTTTAAGCTAGCATTGTGACGTCTCTTTTTGTATGTATAGTATATTTGAGATAAAATCCACATATTTTAAGATGTGCAGTGGAAAGCATTTATTCTAAATAAATCTCACTTTCAGAAATAGAATAAGGTGCTATTACTATGAAGCTTTCAACGTTTTTGAGGATAATTAGCCAAATAATTAATTGGTTTACTTAATTTAATTTCACTTGTCTTCTCTCTTGCTGTTCTTTGATATTTTGATAATTCCTGGATGCTAAAATACACCACCCTTTCTTCTTGGTGCAGACATGTGTTCTACGTTCACTCCACTTGGCTAAGCACATAAAAGAAATACAAATGGGTGAACATAACTCAGCACTTCCTAAAGCCCACAAGATTCCCCTAATCAAATCGACTGGATGATTCACTAAGTTCCCCAGATTTGGTGGTAAACGATTAGGTTTTTAAATAGACCTTAAGTTAAAATAGTCTACATTTCTTGAAATTTGAGGGGTAACAGATAGTACAAGAATTAGTCATCAGATCTTCACTCCTACAAATGATTTTAAATTAAATTTTTATTAGTCCCAAATTAATAGTTTTGTTAATAGTTTTGTTCAGTTCAAAATTAATTCAATATCACTTACTCTGAATTTCCTTCTCCTGAAAAGCATTTGTTGCATTGCTGTATTTCTCAGTGAACAGCTGCTTATAACAGCATAAATTTAAAAGTAGGAGCCATTTGTATTTGTTATTTATTAAAGAACCCCCCACCTTCTAGCATAAGGGGCTGCCTAGAGAGATGTTTGACTGGTGAAGGAGTGGTTAATGCTTAATCATTCCTGTTGATCTGTTTTGTTCTTAGACTGATGGGCGTTACGAATGGATTGATAACTGGAGAATGAAGTATACTAAATGGGCTGAAGGGGAGCCAAAGCAGAAAATAGGCTGTGTCTATCTCGATGTTGCTGGAGCCTGGAAGACAGGATCCTGCAATGAAAGTTACTTCTCTGTTTGCAAAAAAAGTGATGGTAAGAACTTGAACCTAGCCACTATAATTACAGTGCTTGTCCTTTTAGAGTTCACCGTAGTGAGTGGTCTGCTGATATATACTTAGATGCTATTTTTTTAATTATAGAGCTAAATCAAAGAAGAGGATACTTTAAAATGAGCACCAACACATACTAAGAAAGAGTTAATGTGACCGTGAATAGCCATAACTTTACGTTAATAATGTTGTATATATTTTGCAAAGCTTAAAGTCACGTTATTCTGCTAGTTAGTCTGATACTGAAAAAGGAAGCAAGACCAAAAATCTCAAAAATCAAAAGGCAATGAATTTTAGGTAGTAATCACACAGGTACAGTGTTGCAGGTGGATGAGCTATAAGGTGTCACAAAGAATGTTTACTTATAACAGCTTTAGAGGTTTTCTATTTATAATTGAATAACAAAATACAAGTGGCTTAGAAATCTTTAAGGGTCGTTCTTCAGGCCACCTTCTTTTCTGTTTTTGACCTGAAACTCCTGGTACTATCATCTCGTATTGTTTCCTGCATTCCATGATATTAGGTCAGAGCCCACATGATCAAGTTCATGTAGGCCCTAATTCAGCAAGGCAATCAGGTGTGAAAATATGTTTGTGAGTAAAGAGTTAAAAAGTACTGTTAAAAAGTACTTTTAACACATTCTTAAGTTCAGCTCAACTCAGTCTAAGTATGCTCAGATCTTTTGCTAAATTAGATTTCTTCAGATTAAAGTCACAGTACTTTTTCTGCATAGATTTAGGACTTTTTCCCATTACTGAGTTGTAGTAATTGGTATTGACCACCAAGATTATATGTCTTTGAAGACCTCAACGAATTTTCCAACATTTTGTTGGAGTAATCTGTTCATGACAAAAGAATGTATAAGAAGCTGTTTCTTTAAATTTGGGGAGTTTTGTTTTGTTTTTTTTTTTGACAGTTCAAGCTCCCACTGAGCCTCCTCAGCTTCCAGGAAAGTGCCCTGAATCAGAAGGACACAAGTCTTGGATCCCTTTCCGAGGTCATTGCTACTACATTGAGTCTTCATCTACAAGAAATTGGGCCCAGGCATCTTTAGAATGCCTACGACTAGGTAAGTATCCTGCTCAGTCAAAAAGCACATCTTTCTAACTCATTTTTCCTCTCTGTGGAAAGCTGAAAATGTATTTTTGTGATTTCAAGGATTGTATAAGTTCCGAATGGGACAGCTGCATCCAACTATTGCCTTATCTTGGGAGGAGGTGGAAAATAGCTGTCTACCAGTGGTACACGCTGTCTTTCTTGTGTGTAGGACCAGGCATTAGAGGACCTCTGTGGCCTGGAGTGTCCTTTGACCTTGCTAGGAGGTAGTCAGCTTCATCCGCAGCAGTCACTACATCTTTTTTTAATGGCACTTTATGTCTTTTGTATTCCTTATCTAATTTACCCTTTCATTATTGCAGTTTTAGGCCACTGGAATGACAGTTACAGGTCTCTAAGTTGGATGATATATTAGTAAATTAGGATTGTTGTATTGTTTCATCTCGTGATTTCCTTCTCTGGGAAAGCGGTAGAAGATTCATTAAGCTAGACTTCATATATCTATAGCATTGGTGGCAATGGGTCCTAGGTGTCTAACCTCCCATTAAAGTATGCAGAGATCTTGTTTAGAGATCTGAACACAGATTCATCTTTGCTGGAGGTATATATTGCCATTTAGTCAGGTGAATTGCAACTTAAACTCCACTGACTAGGTCGATTAGTCTCCATTGACAATAAACCTGTGAGTGAAATCCATGTCAAATATAGACACCTAAAGCTGAGTAAGAAGAATCTCCCTTTTTGCTGTTATTCAGGCTCATTCTTGGGTTCCAATGAGCAAGGATGTTTTCAGCTCTAGTTTGAGAAACTTGTATTTTTGAGGAGAGGTTCAAGTTGTAGTATACGTTCTTTAAATATTCTCCATTCCAACATTTGCATAACATGAAGATACTTGATAATATACTTCTAAATATAGAAGAGTCTCCCACAGTAGGACAAAAGTAGCTCAATCTTTAAGACTATGACAATTATTACAGCATGACCCATTTCCATACAGTTTTCTGAGTTGTTTAGTTGGCATGACAGATGATTTTTATAATGCTCTTCTGTATCCCATCATGTGTCCCATACCCCTAGACAGTAGGTCCTCTAAGTCTGAAAAGTAGTCTGACATTAATTTGTCTTGTACAAATGCCTGGACACTACTGCAGATGCTGTTCTGTGACAGCCCTAGGAGGGGTCCAAGCAGGATGTCCCATCCTCTGAGTCCATAATTTGGGTTCTTCCCCTGCCATTTTGCCTCTTTGCTCCTCTGGATTTATAGAGATGGATCTTTGCTGGGTTTATGACTCCTGTGATGAGCCTATGAGTAGCCAGAGAAGGGGTGCCCCATCTGCCATTGTCTTTCTGTGCTCCCTTGTGGATGTGCAGTGAAGAAGTTTATCACACATCTTAACAGTCCCCAAATATCTGATACCACTCAGCAAAAGAGGAACAATTAGAAAAACACGAAGGCTACACTTAAGAAAGAGGAACATTCCATGTTCTTTAATATTCTGCTGTCCCTGCTTGCACTCTGGGGTTTGTTTGCAGCTGGACATTTTCCAATTATATCTTACCCAGAGTAGAATTCTGAACCATAATAGATTTTATGAGTAGCTCAGCAGTGATTCAAATAACTTTTATGTTTTCATTCTCTGTAGTTGTGTCTTCCTTACTTGAGAAAAAATACCTTCAGAAATTCAACAGCCAAATTAAAACAGTCAGGTGTCAAATAAATCTGTTCTTCCATAACTATTGACTGGATTCCAGCCCCGCACTGAAGAGAACTGAAGATGCACTTTATCTAGTGTTTCATGCCACTTCGCACAAAATTTTGTAACTCATTGTGTCTGCTGGCTCCATGCTGTGACTTGTGACCTAGCTAGATCATTACAGAGCATACATCATGGCAGAATGCCTAATGTTGTATGTGGATGACTAGCGGGGTGCTACACTAACTGGACAACAGATGACCAGGATGATCTGTCTTTCTCTGATAGCTACGAAGAGAATGTAGGAAAATAAATAAAAATGGGATAAAGACTTATTCTGAGGACTGTGCTTCAGAAAGTCAGCAAAGCCTGTACCTACACAGAAGACTCAGAAAACATTTAATCATCATATGTGAAGTTATATTGTGCACAGTTTGAAGCTGTATATACTTTTTACTAAAAGCTTGCTTTTTTTCTTTTTAAATAGTAACACATCAGTAGAAATGTATGCTGGTTACTCTATCGGGCTGTTGTATTTTGCCTAGACTTGTTCAGTTATGTTGCTGTTTCCTGGTGGATGAGGAAATAAACAAAACTCTTTGTACAAAACAAAACGCAGTGTCATGGAAATGATAAGAAATACATCAGCAACAATATTAGAGTCCGTCGTAAGATATAATCCAGATTTAGTTTCTATTTTGAATTTCAAACTCTGTTTGGAATTTGGCACGCATCGTGGCAAAAATAAGACTGAAATTTGACAGGATGATGAGGGTGCTTTCCACTGTAAAATATATGTCTCTAAGAGATTACTTTTTATCTCTGTGTCTTCCAGGTGCCTCTTTGGTATCAGTTGAAGACTCAGCTGAAGCCAACTTTCTGGCATACACCATTGAACCACTTGAAGGGAAAACATCAACTTTTTGGACAGGAATGTACAGAAATGTGGATGGTAATTTCTTTACTTTCGACATCTTTTTGTCTGGTGAATAATTGACGCAATCTATTTGACATGGGTGTTGAAAACCTCACATTATGCTTCCAAAATATGTAAAAAGGGAAATTAGAAAAAGTGATCAATGGGTGAAGCTGTTCAATAGTAATCAAGCAATAACCAGTAATATATAACAGGAATACTAGGCACAGAAGCAAGAAAACAAACTTAAAACAAGAGAAATAATTCATAACAAAGTAAGGCATAAAATTCCATATAGCAGAGTACAGACAGGACAGTGTTGGGAACAGAGCCAAACTGGAGAGGTCCAGAGTTGATGTGCTTGTCACTGACATGCTCCAATATTTGAGCTAGAGAATAATGTGGCTAACATCACCTTTAGTCTTTGGAATGACTGGTCACCCATCTTTAGTTACAGTGCAGAGGAGGGCAAGAAAGGGCCTGGAGAACAAACCTTATGAGGAGCGATTGAGGGAGCTGGGTCTGTTCAGTTTGAAGAAGAGAAGGCTGAGGAGGGATCTCATCATGCTCTACAATTACTTGAAAGGACATTGTAGAGAGGTTGGTGCTGGTCTCTTCTCACAGGTAATTAGGGACAGAACCAGGGGGAATGGTTGCAAGTTGCAACAGGGCAAGTTTAGGCTGGAGATTAGGAAGAAATTCTTCACAGAAAGAGTGGTCGGACACTGGAATAGACTGCCTAGGGAGGTGGTTGAGTCGCCATCCCTGGATATGTTCAAGTGTCGTTTAGATGGGGTGTTGGGTGATATGGTTTAGGGGTGACCTTGTAGTGTAGGGTCAATGGTTGGACTTGATGATCCCAAGGGTCTTTTCCAACCTGAATTGTTCTATGATTCTATGATTCAACCACTTCATTGACAATCTAGCTGGAGAGGAGACAAATATTGAATTACATTACTTGAATCTTAACCAGAAAAAGGGAAAGTTTTCAGTAGAACAGGAAAGAATTTGAAGAGAGTAATGGTTTATAAGCATAACACATAAAGAAAAGCTGAGGTTTACTCATGCAGTTAATTGACACATAAAATGTTTTTAAAGTGGTTCTAGAGCAGGTGCAGAACAACGCTATTCTTACAGTGGTCATAAACCTGTGGCTTCAGCAAGTTCATGCCCTTACATTACTTGCTAGTTATCATAGTGATTTCAGCATAACTGCATAACTAAATTTCCTGTCTTTGGAAAAATGATTGTATCCAGATGCCATGCCCTGACACAAAGGGTGGCAGGTTGTTAAACCAAAACAAAAACAAAAAAAAAGAGTAATCTTATAAGAAAACAGAACATACCTTTCATGCTGAGTCTAAGAATTTACTTGTTTGAGTACAACTTAAGAGTCACAAGGGGCACATTTATTCTAAATAAATAGTGCTATTAAAAGAAAGAAAGAAAAAAAGGAACAGGAAGGAAGAGACAGAAAGTCCCAGCATAATTGAACAACAGTGATCACAAGATTTTTGAAGCAAATCTTTAAAAAGGAAAATTGTGTGTGTAGTCAGTGGAAAGGAGAAGAATCTGAAAAACAAAGGGAATAAAACTGGACTTAGAAACACTTCAGTGAGAGCTTTGGAAAGAGTAATACAAAACCTTCCTGCAAATTACTGAAATAAAGTGTATTCCGTTAAAGTTAAATTATGTTTTGACATCAGTGACTTTTATAAACTGAGTAATTGACACTGCACCATAACAATAAATTATGGGAGATATGTCTTTAAACTTTCTTGCCCTTGCAACATCATAATGGCCTGCCATTTTCCAAAAATTGATGTATCGTTTGCATAAAAACTTAAGGACAATATGACATGTCAGACCAAAAAACTAAATAGTCTAGTGACTGGTCTCAAGGACTGGACACAAGTAGATTTCTCAGAAAGGCAATAAATATGGGGCAGATGTCAAGATGGAAATGAATACGATCTTGGTTTTCATGTTCAATGTTTTTCCAATTAGGAGAATGGTTGTGGCTAGACAACACTGCAGTGAATTTTGTCAACTGGAATGTAGGAGAACCTTCCCCTCAACAAAATGAACACTGTGTTGAAATGTACGCAAACTCTGGGTACTGGAATAATATCTATTGCTCTTCCTACAAAGGCTATGTTTGTAAAAAGCCAAAAAGTAAGTGCTACATTTATGAATTTGTGTTATGTATGGAGTATGTTCCTTGTGTGCTGTATTTGTAGATGGCAGTTACATGCAGTGTGTTTTAGCTGGGTGTTTTGAGATTTTATAAATGCCGAGGGATGCACATTTGCATGCCAACAGAACGACAGAATAAGTCCTGTCAGAAAGTAGAAGTTCTGACTACTGCTCATGTCCGTTCAGAACCATTTTAAAAAGATTGTGTTCCTATCCTAACTGTACCTAGTGTGCGTTCACTTAACAAGTTTGCCTGTTGTGTATCGATAATTGTTGAGCAATCACGTTAGTACTGTGCCTTGCATACATAAATGTCTCATCTATTTGAAAATATCTTCCTTAGGGTATCCCCTCTGCTCAGTCCAGGGAGTACACTTTGCTTATTTCCTTCTGGCAGTATTACATTCATGCATTTTCTGAGTATGAAGTAGTGTTTCTGTGAATTGAATGTATATGAAATTGTGAATTCATGAACAGTTGTGGACCTTTTGCATCTACTTTCCCCTGTTTTGAGAAGACAAGTGAATGAAAAGCAAAGCAAATACTGTAGTTGAAATGTGCTAAACTGAGAGTGGCCTGAAATAATTGAATGTGCAAATTTGATAGTGAGACTATCTAGTGCACATGTGTTTCTAGAAGTCATCTTAATTTCTTCCAGCATGTATTGCAATATGAAAATCTCTTACTGATATTTACTTAGAGAGTGAAACACATGTAGTAGCTGAAATATGTCCACTTCCTCTACAAGGCTGGAAATGAGAGAAATTCTGCTATTCTTTTTATAAATTTGCTGTCACGCAAAGTTATTCTTACTTACTCAGATGCTTATAGTGAAGACTGTATCTTTTACAGGAAATACTGCAGAACTATCGAATATAACCATCCATTCAGAGGCTACTTACCTGTCTTTTTACATTGTTACTGACAAACAAAAAGGCACCTTATTTTCATTCTCTATCCAGAATAGTTATAGATGTAGGTAACAAGTGTTAAAATCAATGTCCTCCCTTCCTTTTCAGCCATTTAATTCACATGTGCGCTGATGTTCACGTGTTTTGATACTGAGCCATTTCAAGGACCTGAAGCAAAGGAAAAGCTAGTTACGTTTTCTAGGATTAGCTTCAGCCAGTCTAGCCTCCGGAGCTGGAATGCCGTGGAGTCAGCCCAAAGTCAGTGTTAATGCAAGGAATACGTAGTTGTGCACTCAGGAACAGGACACAGTTGAGTCTTACACTGTCACAGAAATGCCTCTGGTCCTGTCACTGGGCACCACCAAGAAAAGCCTCTTTCTGTGATTTTTACACTCTTCGCTCAGACACATTGATAAGATCCTGCTTGAACCTTCTTCTCTAGGCTAAACAGTTCCAGGTCTCTCAGCCTTTCCCCACATAAGGGATGCTCCAGTCCCTTCATCACCTTAGTGGCCCTTTGCTGGACTGCCTCCAGCAGCTCTCTCTCTCTCTAGTACTGGGGAGTCCAGAACTGGACAAGAGGTGTCATCTTGGAATGGATTGCCGAGGGATGTGGTGGAGTCGCTATCCCTGGACGTGTTTAAAAAATGGCTGGATGTGGCACTTCAGGAAATGGTTTAGCGTTACGGTGGTGTAGGTCTGTCGGTTGGACTTGATCTTAAGGTCCTTTTCAACTTTTGTGTTTCTATGATTCTATGTAGCAAACATGCAATGTCTCTAGAAAACACTTCAATAATGTGCAAATACAAGAAGCTTCCAGTTCCCCTGACTCCCAGAGATTTGTGTGCTGGAGTTGCGCAGAAAAGTAATAATCTGCTTTTTTCTGTAAACAGCATTAATAGATACTTTTCTTGTTAGAAACTCCTGGAAACATCCAAATAGTCACTCCTAGTTTTACTCTGAAGAGCTAAATATAGAATATTACTTGTCTCTAAATGTAAAACTGGCTGGGCTATCAGACAATCCAGCAGAGTTGTGGAAAATAAGTAGGAAGGTTGAGATTACTGGATTAATGAAATCAGACAATGTAAGCGGGGACTGGTAAAAACAATTTAACTTCCTGGGCTCGCCTTTTAGAAAATGAATTGCAATGCCCTGATTCAAGATTTAGTGAGACTGATTGTCCACATGGCAAAATATGAATCTTCATCTTAAGTGGTTGGCCCAGTTTTCCCAGCAAATCAGATTTTGTGGGAGTGATGTTAAATTTTAAATGAGCTACAAACATTTTAGTTTGGATGTGAGACCTGCTAAGACACTTTGGAATTCATGAGTGATTTCGATTGTCTCTGTAGGTGGGCCATTAAGGTCTCTTGGCAAACTGAATTTATTGTACTTGCTATGTTTATATAACAAGTACTGCAAGAATTTGTAATTATATTGAGAATTATGTTTGATCATCTCTGTCTTGAAGATGCTCTGGACATTTTCTTATGGTTTTACATTGATGTCAGGATCTATCTGCATGGAGCTCTTTAATTTTTTCTATTATCTGCTGGTTTATGTAAATAATTACATAAGACCAGAATACAATAGAACATTGTGCTATGCCTTTTGATAGGTGTATATAGCTTTGTATGGACTAAACCAAGTGTTTTCAGTATTGAATGGTATGTTTTACCATATATTTATCTGAATATGCTTTTCAGTGTGTTCCAAATTTAGAAATAAATAATATAAAAATAAATAATAACCTAATTCTTTTTCAATGTTTTGAAATACCAGCAATTGAAGTGCCACCAGCAGTTGAAATGCCACCAGCTGAAATACCAACAAAGGGTAAGAATATTGTCTTTCACGTAGACAAAAACTAGTCTCATGTAAGATTATAAACAGAACAAATTATGTTCTGTATTATATCTCTTACATTTTCTGATATATCTGAGTACCATATCTGTTTCCTAGGAGGGTATTATTCCTAGCAGAATACAATGTACTTCATTCAGTTTCCAAATGCAAATTTAAAATAATAATTATTTGTGATATAACATACAATGTTGACATTTTAAAATAATTTTATGTTGCTACCATTGTCTCTCATTATTTTGAAGCAAAACTTTTTGCTTGAAAGAGCATGCTTTCTAAAGAAATTATTTCCAGTAGTCAGATACAGATTATGTAGCATCCTCTTGATTTCTTTTTGTTTCTTTTCAGCAATGACAAAAGACGAGAAGGCTCATACTCTGAACCATAGTAAAACAGGAATTGTAGTTATTGTTGCCATCCTTGTCCTAGTTGGAAGTGGCATTGCAGGCTATCTCTTCTACACAAGAAGAAAGAATCACTTGTCAACAAATGACAGCTTTGAGAACAATTTGTATTTTAACAGTGATTCAGTTCTTGGAACTAGTGACACAAAGGATCTTGTGACCAACATAGAACAGAATGAACATGCGACACTGTAATGTAATAAAATAAAATGTAATGTAATATGTAATGTAAAATGCAATGTAATAAAGTAAAATGTGCCTTGTTTTAATAAAATTATGCAATTAGAACTAAGCCAAAGCCATTTTCTCATGTGCAAATACTGTAGTAGACCTTTTCATTGTGTGAGTAATGTTATATACAGCAGTTACTTTATTTTGTAATCATTGTGTGATGTGTAAGATTTCAGATTTCACAATTTGATGATCCACACTAGTGAGTGCAGGTCTTAAGAATAGAGATAACATTGTTAAATGGAACAGTAGAAGTGGATGCAATAAAAGAAGTAAAATGTCAATAGAAACACTTGAGAAGGCTCACAAGATTTGAAGTTTCTGCATCAGATTTATTTCAAAACATGTTAATGTACAGATTCTCGAAGCTACTCAGCAAATATATTTCTAATTCTACCATCTTTCGAGTATTCCTAGGGACTTTACAGGAGTAGCTGCTAGGTGATGAGTCTGTATTCAGACACATCTTTGAACCACGTGGGGAAAAAAACCTTTTATGATATCAGTTCAGTTCCCACAATTTCACACAACACGGAGAGCCAGGTGTGTAGTTCTTGTAGTTTATGTATTCTAGGTTTTAATCAGGTAAAAGCTGGGGGGCAGGCCTCTGGAATGGAAAAGTGTGGTTGGTGTTAACTGCCACTGTTCTGGCTGGCCACAAGTGAGTTTGTCAGGGAGAGGTGATGAAGGTCCTGGCAAAACTTCCGTCTTATGAGGAAAACAGTTGCTGAGGAGTGGGAGGAACATTCCTGTATGTGTTCTGAAGGTTTATAGGAGCACTGGAGAGCTGTTTTCATGATCTGTGTTGGTACCACTCTCATACAGCCTCTCAATAAGTAGTATAGGTTTGTGGCATGTGTGCTGGAAGTCAAGAACACTTTAGCTTTACCAATGTACTACTGGTTTTATTTCTTTCTAAAATGGCTAGATCGGTTACCATTTATGGAAATCTTAGATTCCCCAATGCGGAGTTTATATTCTTAATTTTTGTAAATCTTGTAAAATGCATGATTCCTGACTTGCATACAAAGGTTTGCAAGGTTTGACTTTGTGGTTTCAGATTTTGTTCTGTGAAATAAACGATAACTAGCTTTGATTTTTAAAATAGTTTTTCATTTTATAGCCTTGTCCATATAAGACTCTGTAACACGATAAAGTTAAAAAGGAGATGATACAACAGTTGAGACTTTCCATCCAAAATTGTGATCAAGCAGTATATTGACCTTATTTTCCTGAGTCTGTCTACTTAAAACCAAGACAAAAATGTCAGCTGAGTGATTTAGTAAAAATCTGAATTACATACATGTGTAGATGAGGAAATTTGTTCTGAGGAAATTTGAGAAATCCTTTTCTCTGTCTCCTTTCTGGCTTCCTTTTTTCTGGCTTCCTTTCTTCCAGTTTTTCCTTGCCTCTGTTCCTACTGCTGTTTCTGTTTTTAATGCACAGTTTTTTGAGAGTGTGTTTACAAGGAGTAGTACCTGTAATGGTTCTTCACGTCACCCAGTGTGGCTTATATGCCAGAAACTTCCCAGCTGGTACCTTTCACTGATGACAGCTCATTTGTTGGACTGTCTGAATAGAGAGTCCAGTCCCAGGTTTTTAACATCCTAATTCCTTTGGTCATACTTGTGAAAGACGTGTCATAGAACTTCAAGATAAAAATGAGAGAGTAGATACCAAACCGGTTTTCTCTTTCCACATCCTTGTGATATTTCCACCTTCCCTGGACTGAGTTATTATGAAATGGTTTTACCAAACATCAGTTGGTGATCTGACATTATATCCTGTTTTCCTGCTGCTAAGCTGCAATATGCCTGCCAAGCGACTGACTGCATCAAAAAGATTTCAAAAATTGGGCTAGGGAAATTATCTATGTTGATCTGTTTGGTGGAAAAAAACAGTGTGTCTTCTTCGAAATGGTTCATATGGATGCAATATAGTTTGTTGCTTAGTGCATTCTGATCCTTCACCAGTTCTTTCAGCCATTTTCTATTACTGGCTGCTATTCCTATGGGAATCAATCAGTTGCCTTAGAACCTCCCTTGTTGCTCTTGTGAGCTCTCATTTTGTCTCCTGAGTAGAGTAATTTAGGGAGAGGTCAGGCTCTATGTTGCATACATTCACAGAGGAATTGGGATCTTACTTTTCTGAAATATTCTTGCTGCAAAAACAAGGAAAGTAGTTTCTTAATAAACAAGATAAAACAAGTGATGGAGAGAAAAGGAAAGGAAATTTTTAATGGATTGTTAATAATTCATATCCATAAACCTCTGATTCTGACAAGATTTTTTTGTGTTTAAACTTGGCAGTTCAGATAAGTGAAAGAAAAAACACCTATTGATTATGTAGCATGAGAATATATTATGAAAGTGCAAGGTACCTTATGTTGCTCTTCCAGTATGTTTTGAGCCTATCTAGAAAAATGAAAAGATTGTTCTCTCTCTGGGGGACTTTTTTGTTTGGTTTTGGGTTTGGTTTTTTTTTTAGCCTAGAATGTTTCTACTGAGATTTAGAGCATGTCTATTTTTTTTTATTTTTTTTTTCAGTTGGAAACTGAAATCTCACGTCAAGTTATAGCAGGCTAAATGATCACAAAATTCCTTTCAGGTTTTAATACCAATGCTTTTAAAAAAATATTTAACTTTTGTAGGAAAGGACTTGGTTGAACTTGGATTGATTCACCCATTCATTTCTTTGGGTAGCTGAGGAGTGACTTGATGGCATTAGCTGATAGCGTGTAAACATTTGTCTCTTTGCATGTCGCTGCGTTTCTTGATAGCCTTGTGTTTGATTTTCATTTCCCCTTTCCTCCAGAAGAATTCGGACTTTAGAGGAAAGGTGGTGAATCTGCCCACTGTGAGTGTAACTTCCTGCCTGTGAGCAGTGACTGCTGAAGGAACAATGCTGACTCAATACAAAACCCAGTAGCCTTTCTTCCTTAGTACTTCTGAAATGTCAGGCTGTGCCTTGCCGGGTCAAAGATGCTGGAGTGCATCCCTGCAATCTTCTGATTTTGTTTCCCGCTTTGTGGGCTGCAATGGGTTCTGCTCAGACAAACATAAAAACACCAAGGTGAAGCTACTTTCAGTATGTTTTACTCTTTTTCAGACTCTGAGTAGATACTTGGTACAAGTCCTTCATTAAGTACCCATCCTTCCTCAGAACAAAACTAGTTTCTTCTTCCCTGTTACAATTTTACTTGTTGCATCCTGGTAACTTTGGAGGTCCTGAGATGGTATATACGGCAGAATTACAGGAGACTACGTTTTTCCTGCCTAAATATTATTTATTCCATTTGCACATCTAGAGCTCTTGATCAAGGAAGCAAGGAAAGTTGAAAAATTGAGGTTGCAGGATCTGGGAAGTACCAGAATACTTTACTCCAGACTCAGTGCAGCCATCTTTGCATGTGCATTGTTATTTACTGAGCACTTGACCATTTGCTGAGGCAACCCTCTTTTTCACGCTTTCCTCAGGTCTCAGAGTCCTTCTCAGGCTCCCTTTCTTTCCATGGTTTTGGTTGAGCTGTACCCCTATTTTCTCTCATTGCTGTAATTCTTGTTCTGCTCTGATTCCTTGTATACCTTCTTAGACCCAGTGAGTTGTCCATCTACATCTCAGTCAGAACAATAGAAGCAGGATCCCAGACCTTCATGTAGGTGTCCAGGGACTTCATTGTCTGCAACAGCAGCAATCTTCAGGGAAAGACCCTAAAGAGTGTTTGCTGCAAATCCAGTATTGGGAAAGTTATCACAAACCAGCCTCTCCTGAAGATAACAGGAATTCAAATTTTTCAAAGAAATGTTTTTTCTCTTTCCTACCCTCTACATTTTTCTAACTCCTTTACCTATGTCATGAAGGAGAGAACTTTTTCAAAGTAAATATCAGAATTTTGTCAGAATGCCTTGATTTGCATGGTGTCCCAGTGAATTTTTCACAGTACTGCATTGCACTCTGGCTTTTTATGTTATTTATTGATAACAAATCTTCCTCTTTTTTTTTACCTTTTTTCCTTTATTTCTGGTAAAGAGACATTCGTGTCACATTTTCATAAAAATAATAATCCTGAATTGTAAGGTATGTCTCCAAAAATCCTCACTAAGAAGTTACCTGTTAGATGTGTTTCCATGGAAGAGAAAACTTTTATATAGTAGGCAAACTAGCTTAGAAAGCAAAGTTTATTCATTAATGTATTATTTCAAAATTACTCATGTGACATGATACAGTTCCTTATTTGCAGCTCAGAACTTCCCTGTATCTGCTGGGTCTTAAAAACTGTAAAGGATTTGTTAATCTGGTTAGTGCAGAAAGGTTTGCTTCCAAGGAACAGATTTGGTCTTCAGCATCAGGCTGAGGTGAAGGGCAGAAGGGAGTGGAATATTTGGCCATGGCTGTCTACATGCTCCTGATCATTCTCTTTTCCTTTAGTACATCTCTTCAAATATCTGGTAAGTCTTTGTCCTCTGTTGAGTATGGAGGTTTGCAAGTTCTTTCTCATGTTTTCCAGATGTCCTCCTTAGTGGACAGTGAGTTTAGATCTAATCACAGTATGTATTTTGAAAGAGTTTTATTCAACTCTTAAATTTGATGGTATCTGTATAGACATTCTGTCGCCTTAATCCAGTTTTCAAGGTGGTGTCTGAGTGAAAGAAATGCATCAGTAGAGGTGGGCGTAACCTAGACAGCTGGTTCTTGAAAATCAGACAGATGAATGCAGACAAAAGCTGATCTGAAATTACTCCACTGGACGTTAGAACAGTTCAGAAGTACATGGCAGTGTCCTCTCAGCATGCACAGAACCACTGCCTGATGTGTGCTTTGAATTTCTTAGACAGCTCATATAGGTTATGGCATACTGATCGTTGTATACTGGAATCCTGTTTCCAAGCTGGCGGCTTTAGGAAGGATCTAAAAACCTGCTTGTCTTCAGACACTCCTACCGCTGAGAGGAAAGCAAATGACAC